TCCGAACCCTCGGCGGGAGCGCCGCCGCACTCCCAAGCGGCGCACTGTAGCAGTGCACCACCGGCCGGCCCTAGTTCTCATTTTCTTTTCTAAAACTGGGGCCTTGGAATCCTTTTATAGAGAGGAAAGTTTAAGTAAGTAAAATAATTAAAATTAATTTCCGTGGCTGTCAAGAGGGTTCTGTTTATGAACCCTGAACTCATTTAGCTGTAGATGGTCATTCTTGTTACCTAGTGTAGCCGACTGAGGAAACACTTGCGAAGGTTCTAGGATGGGAACCATCTAGAAGAGAGGGTAACAGTAACTTCGAGGGAAGGACAGGAGAGCTGAAGAGTTGTAGCCTTCTACGTATGCTCATTGCCCTTTCCACATTCCCCCACTTCATTAAAATTCGTTTTAGATTATAAAAATAATATATAGTCATTGCAAAAAAAGAACTAATTAAAAATCACCTATTTCCTACACTCAAAGATAACGACTGTTAACATATGATATACAGGTGATGTGTATGAGTATACATGATCATATATGTGATGTGTATGCCTATAACTAATGCACATGTACAAGTGCTTGTGTACCTTCTTTAAAAGTATTTTAAATATTTTTCCATGTTATTAAGTCTTTTTTGTAAATACAGTCTTTTTTGTGGCTGCATAATATTCCAGCATGTATATATGCCATCATTTATTTAATAGGAATTGTAAATTTGGTTGTTGCTCATTTTTGATGAGCTGTTATAAATAATGCTGAGATGAGAATCCTTTAAACAGTCTAACTTTGATGATCTCTCTAGGATAAATTCCTGAAGTAGAATTTTGGGGTTAAAAAATAAATCTGAACTTTGTAAATTCTGTTGATATTTAATACTAAATTTTTCCTCAAAAAGCTTGTTGCAGTTTCTGTTGTCCCCTGCAGAGTGTGAGAGTGTCTGTGTCGTTATTAATGCTGAGTGTTACCATTCTTTTTAACCTTTGCCAGTCTGATAGGTAATGCATAGTATGTTATTTTAATTTGCAGTCTTTTTTAAATCATGGGAAAAGCTAAAGATTTTCTTTTATAGTTATTGGTCATTCATACTTATCTTGCAGTATGTCTTTTTCCTTTCTATACCCATTTTTTATAGAGAGCCATTAATTGAGTTGTTTGTGTTTTAGGGTTAAGTCCTTTTCTGTCATATAGTGTAGGTGTTTCTCTGGTTTGTCATTGCCTTTTGGTCCATAGTGTTTTGCCTAAAGAAGTGTATGTGTGTGTGCATATTTTAAAAACTATAGGAAAGTACTATAGGAAATAACCTTTATTTACTTACCACCCAGAATGCACAGACATTTATATATATATATGTTGTCATTTTGGCTCTGTATTTTTTTAATAAAGGAAATAAAATATAGATAAGTTGGGATTGTCATGGTTCTCCTTCCCATCCTATCCTTTCCTTCCTTAGGGCAGCAGCTATTATGATTTGAGTGTCGCTCCTTCTGGTCCCACTTTTTCTACTGTTACCAATTTACAACTATCAGTGAAAACGTACAGTGCTAGTTTGTGTGTGTGCTTGGTTACATATACTCTATACTATCATATCGATGTATCTCTGGGTAATTTGCCTTATTTGCATATCAGTATGTTTAGTTCAATTAATAACGATATGTATATATCTAGTCCCTTCATTCTGGCTGCTGTGTAGTATCACATCCATTTAATGTTACTCCAGATTCTTCCTCAACTTGTTTATCGATTCGTCTATCTTGGTGAACACTGAAGATGCTTCTAGTTTTTCTATTAATAGTGTTGCCAACGTGCACCAACTTGTGTGTATTTGGGGAGATCTTCTCAAGGAGCAACCTTAGGACTGTGTTGTGGGTTACGTAGATTTTCAGCTCTATTGGTCTTGACAAACTGTTTCCAGGTGATCATCCCATTTGACACTCCCACCAACAGTGTGAAAGGTTTTCTCTCACCCCATACCTTCACCAAAACATGGTAGTGTCAGACTTAGTAATTTTTGCCAATTTGTGGGAATGCAATAGAATTTCATCCTGGTTTTAATTTGCATAATCCTGATTGCTAGTGGGATTGAACATCTTTTTATTGTATTATAGATATTATCAATCACCTTGGTATTGTCCTAGGTTTAATAGGTCTTCCCTTCTATGCATTTTCTCTTCTATCCTTTGCTCACTTTTTCCTATTGGGTTACTTTTTTTTTTTTTTAAATTAATTTTTTTCATTGTACATGTATATGGGGTACCATTTGTTGTTTCAAGGCAGGCAAATTTTGTATAATGATCTAATCAGAATAGTTAGCATATCTATCACCTAAACATTTATCATTTCTTTGTGGTTCTAACATTCAAGATTCTCTTTTCTGGCTATCTTGAAATACATGATACAATATTATTAGCTGCTGTCACTCTAGAGCACCAGAATTTATTTCTTTTTGTCTAACTGTAACTTTGTAATGTTGTATCTGTATACCAACCTTTCCCTGCTCCCCCTCCCCCTTCCCTGCCTCTGGTAACCACTATTCTACTATTTGTCCCTCTTTTTTTCTCTTTTTAATTTATTTTTCTTAATTGACTCATGGTAACTGTATATATTTGTGGAGTGCAGTATGATATTTGGGTACAGCTATACTGTATACAGTGATCATATCAGGGTGCTTAGTGTATCCATCATCTCAGACATTTGTCACTTCTTTGTGTTAGGAACATTCGATGTCATCTAAACAAGCTATTTAAAGATACACAGTAATTTGCTGTTAATTGTAGTCTCTTTATATTATCATAGAATACTAGAGCCCGTTCTTCCTATGTCTACTATTTTGTATCCACTGGCCACTGTCTTCCTATTCCCCCTTCTTTTTGCCCCCACCAGTCTCTAGTAACCACTAGTCTACTCTGCTTTTGAGATCAACTTTTTTAGCTTCCACAGATGAGTGAGGACATGTGGTATTTCTCTTTCTATATCTGGCTTATTTCACTTAACGTAATTTTCTCCAAGCTCATCCATGTTGCTGCAAATGGCAGAATTTCATTCTTTTTTATGGCTGTGTAGTATTCCATTGTGTATATGTACCACATTTTCTTTATCCAGTCATCTGCTGAAGGACATTTAGGTTTGTTGCAAATCTTGGCTGTTGTGAATAGAGCTGTGATAAACATGGGAGTGCAGGTATCCCTTTGACATGTTGATTTGGGTTACTTTGTTGTTGGTGTTCTTTACATGTTTTCAGTACCAATACCATGTTACATGTGTTGTATCCATCTTCTGATCCACGGCTTGCCTTTCCTTTTTTGTTCAACTTGGCATTTATTGCATTCTTTCAGTCCTTTGCCAAGCCCTCCTAGTAGGACGCTGACTTGAGATTACAGAGTATTAAAAAGTTCTATAGGAACCAGCAGAAGGGTTGGGGAAGCATTGAGACAACACTAGCTCTGGCAGCAACAACACCACAACAAAAAAGGGTCTGACCACTCAAAGAAGGGCAGGGCCTTCCAGAGAAGTGAAGTAGGGAGGTGCGACGGGGGTGGTCACCAAGAGTCTCCAACTTTCCTTTCCTACCCTGAGCAGCCAGGAGTGGCCGGCAGTGCACGCTTCCGCCCCCATCTCCGTGGCCTCCCACCCCTGTCCTGGGAGCCTCTCCTGCCTCCCTGCTGAGAACAGTTTGGCTTTTCAACAGCTTTGTCAGTTAAATTTATGTTGTTGTTTTTTTGTACAGAAATTTAAATTTTTGATGTACTTATTAGTCTTTAACTTTATAAGATGTGCTTTTTATTTCTTACCTAAGAAATCTTTTCCTTGCCAAAGCCAGACTTTATTTTCTTATAATAAAAAATTTTTAAAAAATAAAATACAATATAAAACAAAAAATTTAAAAGACTGTGCTTATAACAATTTCTGTTTTTCACACAGATCTTTAATCCAGCTGGAGGGCTTTGCTTTTGTAGCTTGATTTATCTCTTTTTCTATGGCTTTTCCTCTGCACTGATGCTTTCAAGGGCCTCTCTGAGCTCCGGCGAGTCTCCCTTGACCTTGTCTTCTCCGATAACCTGTGCTGCTTTGTCTGCTCTGGGCGTCATGAGGCAAAGACAGTCAGTGTTTGTCCAGGGGACTCATCTGTGTCTTGAGGACTGTTAATGTTGGTAACATTCATGATTTTGCTTTCCTGTGTGGACCCTGGCCCCAAGGGGCTTGATTTCATTCAGTGCTGAGAATTCATTCAGTTTCTGAAACTCCCATGGAGTCTATTGAGGATGTTTTGATCCTGGCACTGGAAATGTTCTCAAATCTGTGAATGCTGCTGAGAAGTAGACCCAGGGACTCCCAGAAAGATGCTCCTGCTGACCTTGAACATGCAGCCCCCTTGTGTTTTTTCATAAGAGATGAAATGGGTTGGTACAGTATGTTTTTCTTGTCAATGTCTTAGCCTTATGGAAACTAGTTACATCTAAGGAGTTGGGGTGCTTTGAATTTTTCTCACTCTTACCCACCCCATTTAGATCAAGAGAAAACAAAAAGCATTATCCTTCCAACAATGTGTGTTTTCTACAGTTCATACAAAAATAAAGATGTGAAAATAAGAGTTAACCAATTTATAGGACATCCCCTGGAGAGCATGTCAAAGGTGACTGTCCTAAATGCTTGTGGGAAACAGCAGCTTCATGGGACAATGTTGCCTGGCAACCCCACTCTTGTCATCCTGTCACCATCCCGTCACCAGCTTCTTTCTAAGCAGAGAGGTGCTAGGAGGTGAGCATAGGATGATTTCCAAGTTAGCCCTTGGGTCTTTCTGACAAATAGCACCTGCCAGGGGACCCTTCCTCCTGGCCTTAGCCTGCCCAGTGCCAGGGGCCACAGCATTTTTTAGTAACCAGAAACTGTGACAGATAGTTGGCATTTTTTGCATGTTTATTTCTGCTTTAAAAGATTTTGCCTTTCTTTTCACTGTTTTCACTACATATGAACATTTTTCTTTTTACTCTGCTCTTGTGTTTTTTTCTTAGGCCGAAAGCTGAGAGGAAAGGCATTTTATTTTGTCAATGGCAAAGTGTTTTGTGAGGAAGACTTCCTGGTGAGTATGTCACAGCCTCCCCTCCCCTGTCCTGGCCAGTCAGAGGGCAGAAGCCTGGAGAAGTCTGCGCCGGCACCATTTGGAAGCTGTACTGCTGGAGAGAGGGGAGTTTCCTTCTGTAGGTGCATAGGGTTGGCCCATGTGCCTGAAGCAGATGATAAACTGCAGAGCTTTGTGCTTTGAAGGCACTGTAGGGTCACTTGGCCTGTCCTCTTGCTGCTTTCCCCAGTTCTGCCTCCTCCACCCATCTCTTAAGCCTCTGGACTCGGACCCTGCCTCTCTTTTCTTCTGCTGCCTGCTGTCCCTGGGAATCCAGCCTTTCCCATGGATTGAAAGCCCATCCATATATCGACTCCCAATCTGAGCTCCAGCCCGATTGCACCTCTGAGGCCGGCTGCTGGCATCTCACTGCCCACTGGACATGTCCCCGGGGCTGTCCCCCAGCCTGTCACATACCACTTGTCTGAGGCAGAGAATATCACCTTGCCTTTGGTCCTTCTCTCTGAGAACTGTGTCCTTGGTTCCTTTTCAAACCCACCTCCTTCCCTGTCTCTACCAGAAAGCAGCCAAGCATTGAGCTTTGAGCCATGTGTCTTCCACGGTTCTGCCCTAGTTTACACCTTCAGTGTGGCTCAGCCGGGCTGGTCTAACAGCCTCCCACACTGCCTGTGTGAGGAGGCCTGGTGCCTGCTCAGCCCAAGGTCCGTGCCCTGCCCTTCCTCAGCCACTGTGCAGCCTCACACCTGTGCACCTCTGTGCCTTTGCTTGTGCCAGTTCCCATGCTGCCATGTCTCCCCCTTTCTTGGCCTAGATCACTCTGACAGCCTTCCTGTCCCTCCTACCCCCACAATGGAGTGCCCTCCTCTGGCAGGGCAGTTGGTAGAGCAGCGTGTCTGTTTACAAGTCCTTCTCCCATTGACTGCAAGCTCCTGGGGAGGAAAGAATGTGCTTCTTCACCTTGACACCTGCAGCTCCTGACTCACTGCCAAGCACAGAGTGGGTGCTCAGTTGAACTGACCCTGTCGTCTCAGGGATGAGGAATGTGAGACCCAGAGATGGCCTCGGGGCTGCTTCTCTGTGGACGTATGAAGCCCTTTTCTCCCTGTCTTCTCTTGGAGAAAAGCTGTATTTGGTTTTCATGGAGAGTTGATTCATCGTGAGTTTTGTTTGCCAGTAAGACAAGCAAATCCAAACTGGCTTAAGCAAAAAGGAAAATCATCCAGCACTGACTCAGGAGTCATTTTCTCTCCAGTTTTTGGCTCTGCCTCTCAGTGTTAGCTTCAGCCTTAGGCACTATATGATAGCTAGATGTTGACAGCACTCCAGAGTTTACATTCTCTCGTTTAAAATCTGATGGGCAGAGTGCCCGTTTGTCTTTGAGAAGACCCTACAAAGGTCTCCTGGAGTCTCATTGGCTCCTGTTGGGTCACATGCCCACCTCTGGACAAAATCATTGGTGCTGATTCTGATTGGCCAGGTCTGAGTCAGTGCCCAGCCTTGGCGCCAGCCTGAGTCAACCCCACAGGAATCATGGGAACCACAGGGTGGGAGTGTGGGAGCTGGACCCCAAATGAAGGTAAAGAACTGTCAACCCTAGAGTGGGGGTTGGGCTGGGCAGCAGAAATCTCCATGACATGGGGTAGAGTTGCAGAAAGTTTCACTTTTCTTTTTTCCACCTTCCTTTCCATTACGTTCGTCCCCACCCCATTAGGTTGTGTTTGTAGTACCTAAACTCCTAGTATTTTCCAGTGTGTAGTATCAAGTACATTTTCTGAAGAG